GGTGAGAGAGAATCCCAAGCAGGCTGTCAGCATAGAGCCCCACAGGGGCTTGATCCCAGGAACTTTGAGATCACAACCTGAGCCTAAATCAAGAGTTGGACGCTCGACTGACTGAGCCACCCAGGTGCACCACTCAAAAACATTTAAAAGATCTAATATATACATATGTGTGTATCTATGTAAATGTTTACCTTCAATGATAATAAAATAAACTTTAAAAATCCCAAGATATCATTTTTCACTCACCAAATTGGCAAAGACTTTTAATACTCAACTTTAAGTTGGTACAACCTTTCTGGAAAGCAACTTGGCAATCAGTATTGAGAACCTTAAAATGTACATATCCTCTGACTCAGCAAGTCTCCTTCGAGGAATTTCCCCTAGAGAAATAATCAGATATTTTGGCAAAGATTTACATACAGGGATGTTCTCTACAACATTATTTCCTATAGCCCCAAATTGGAAGCAACCTAGATGTCAGAGAATAGCAGGACTAATAAGTTATGATACATTTATAAAATGGATTATTAAGCAGTTAATAAAAATGACATTCCTTTGTAGCAATGGAACTGTTCTGCATCCTGATTGTATCAATATCAATATACTGGTTGTGGTATTGTACTATACTTTTGCAAGGTGATGTCATTGGGGGAAACTGCATAAAGGGTATATGATATTCTTTCTTACAACTGCTTCTACATCTACAATTATCTTCAAATAAAAAAATCTCATTTTTAAACAATATGCGGTATAATCTGAAGTACATGCCATCTATAAGCACTGAAAACACGTCGGAAGAAACATTGAGCAGATAGATTGATCGATCGGTCGATTGACAGGCAGGTGATCGATAGATACACAGGCAAATTGATAGGAGAACGAGAAGACTGGACTTACACAAGCTCCTTCTGTGTCGTCCATAGGATGGCTAATTATGCCATCACTAAAAATTATTATCTCCTCTGTAAAGCCTTGCCACGCTCTCTGAGCCAGATACCTTCTCTCACGTCCCTTTGTCCTGCCTCCCACACACTGATTCTCATCGTGTGTTGTAACTGCTTGTAGGTCGGCCATCTGGATCAGTTCTGAGGTCCTCGAGGACAGGAGAAATGTCTTATTAAGCACTGTCTTCCGGGGCCTGGCATAGAGCAGGCACTCAAAATGTGGGTTGCTCAAATGGGTGAATAAAGCAATAGTGGCTGAACAGTCGTTTAATTTTGCTGTGGACCCTTATTCGAAAGAACACTAACCTCAGGGGTTCTCAGAGCTGAAGAAGAAAATGCATAGCTATGACTCAATCTTCCCCAGTTTGTATAGCACGCTCACATCCCCTACACTGAGTTGTTCTACAGAAAGGTCGTTGGGGCCCTTGACACAGGCCTTACAATATAACTAACATCTTTGGAAATAAGGTCCTTTGTGAGTTTGTTGATGCCCTTGGATGAAAGCTAAGGACTGTAACAAATGAAAGCTAGACTTGTAACAAATTCCTTCCTCTACTAACAGTGATAGGAAAACATTTCATCCCATTTACCTGAATCCGTAAATCCCATCCCGCCTAGGTAGATCAGAAGGGATTTGAGTAACAGGAAATATTTTATTATAGTAAATTAGACACAGGTTTTGAGAAACCAGAATGTCTAAAATGCTGAAAGAAGAAGGGGGACAATAAAATTAACAGGTATCCTTATTTGCCCCTTATCACCTTTGATTTTGAGAAGGTTCTGCAGAATTCGGGAAGTCTATTGACATGTGACAGGGTAACCAAATGAAAACTCATTTGGAGAATAGACATAATTGCAACGTCACAATTTGTCTGGATTAAATATGTTTATAGTACATAAAGGGCTGTCTTGAGTTTCACAATGTGCTAGGTTCTTTGACATTTTTGCCTGCCCAGTATTTATGTATTTCAATATTCC